CGCTCGCTCGGGCCTCTCGCGCCGCAGGATCTCCTGATGCCGCCGCCCGCGCGGCGGCGTCCGCTGTTCCCGAGCTGCTTTTTGGTCACGCAGGAGGGGGCACATCGTGTGGAAGCGCGTGCATCCCCCACAGTAGAAAGTCGCCCTCTCCGCTCGGAAATGAAAGGGAACCCTCAACGGTGACCGACTGGATGTCGGACCGCCCGCCCGGCTTGTCTAGCGCGGACAATACAGAACTCTCCGAGCGCCCGCGCGCGCCCGCGCGGAGAGCAGCGTATTGTCAACAAGAGAAGTGCCGCACTGCTGACCAGGAAATTAAGAGGACCCTTTCAATGTGATCTAGCGGATTGCGGGTGACCTGCCCGACTTGTCTATCGTTGACAACGCAACATGTTCCACGGATGCGCGCGTGCCAGCCTGGAGAGTTGTCTTGTATTGTCCACAGTGGTCATATAGCCTTGTTGGCCTGTAAACCGAAATTAACCGTTAACGGTGACCGGGGTGATTTCGAGTGACCCGCCCAACTTGGCCAGAGTGAGCAATGCAGGACTATCGACGCGCGCGTGCGTACCTGCGAGGATAGTTCTGTCGTTAACGGTTACTGGGCGGATGTCGGGGGACCCGCCCATTTTATTTTACCCAGCGTGGACAATACAGACCTCTCCACGCCCGCACGCGTGCCCGTGAGGATCATGTATTATCCACAACAAAAAAGTTGCAATGTTGGCCCGGGGAGCGCAGCGAACCTTGAACAGTGGCCGAGCGGATTTCGGGTTACTTGCCCGATTTCTCTGGTGTGGACAATACTGCACTTTCCAAGAGCGCGAGCGCGCTGCCGCGAGGAGAGTCAGGCATTGCCAGAGCTGCAGGACGTGATGGGCGCGGCCCGACGCAGCAATGGGGCGCGCAGGACCCGGCCCGGAACGCCGGGCGCCAGGGTGGTCGCAGGGACGTCGCCTTTGCAATCCGATTTGCCCCGCCGTCCTTTCTTTTTCATGTGTGCTCTGGAGTGCCGTGAGACATCGCTTCACTGCTCCCCCTGCAGATGGTGTGAATTTGTTTTGAACATTGGTCCGACTTCGGTGGCAGGTCTTCTTGCAAGACGTTCCCTGCACAGCCCTTTCTCGTCCGCGCGCGTGCCTCGCGCCAAGATCTGCGAACCGCCCTTTTGGACGCCCCCCCTCCTCGGACGCCCCAGAAGCCTTCTTCGCCTCTTCCCCCCTTCACTCCCCCTTTCGGGAGGGGAAAGAACACACAGACACAATTAATCGCCCCCTCCCAGGAAAATATGGGAAAATATGGGAAGTGGGGGGGAAGACAAAAACCCAGAAAATTATTGGAAACTATGGGGAATGCTGTTATTTGTGCGTATTCACTTGTGTGTCCGCGGGCCCCTTCACCCTTACCCTCCCCGCCCCCGTTCGCTTCCTCCCCGCAGTGCCCATCTCGACACGGCCGGCCGCGTGCTACACGCCGATCCCACCTGGTATCGAGCCGTGCTCTGAGCTCGATTCCCAGGCGATCCGATGCGGCACTGCGTTTGCACGGCTCGGCTGCGTATCTTGGTGCGGCCGGTCCGGTTCGATTCCGAAGTCTTCGCCGACGCGGCCCGTTTCTCAATGCGATGCTGGTTCTGATCCTACCCGACCTATCTGTTTTATGCTGACCGCTGCTGCAGTCAAGCCGCAGGGTAAGGATGGGCAATCTTCCCGAGGGTACCCCTCTTGCATCCTTGCCTCCTCGGCCCATCCTTGGCCACTTTCGCTGGCCGTGCCCCGCTCGAGCTTCGAAATGGCCCTCAAAGGCCCTTGCATCCTTATCGCGCAGCCTCATGCTACGGGCCGACTGTACCCTGCTCCTCCTTCTCCTCCTTCTCCTGATCCTCCTCCTCATCCTCCTCGCCTGCGTCTCCTCCTCCCCCTCTTCCTCCTGATCCTCGTAATCCTCCTCCTCCTCCTCCTCCTGCCCCTTGCGAGGACACCATCTAGTTATACACCCACAGCGTTGCTGGCCGGGCGCATCTCTGGCCCAGGGCCGTGTCGGCAAACCCGCCGCGGCCTTCGGCCTGGCCAGGAAGGCACACATGTGCACCGACCTGAGTCGGAGGGCTGGACGGGGCCACGACTGAGTGCAGGTGCATAGCTGTCGTTCCCCGGCCCCTCCTCCATTCCCCTCAGAGTAGAAACAGGTACCCATAATTACCTCTACCCTTCGCTCGTGTTTCCCTTTTTGGGCCTCCTGGGCGGCCCTCGTCACCAGCTGGATGCGCCTCGAAATTCTGGTGTGAACGCACCTCTTGAGAGGTCCGGGGAGTAGCGGTATCGGTACCGTGTGCTCTCCCCACCCCCATTCCCCAGACATCTGACGTCGTGTTTTTTCCAAGACGTGGCTCCCCAGAGGTCTGGACCCTTTGACGAGCACTGGGTGTTCATCGACTGTTTGTTTGACGGTGGTGGCCACTGGTGAGGGTCCCTGAGGCCGAGCATTGTCAGACAGCTCCCAGCGTGAGTTCTCCACGAAAATCATGTCAGGGATTCCCCTCTCCACTTCCTCAGTTCTCCTCTCCACTTCTTCCGCTCTTTTCACTCAACGGGAGGTGGTCGCGGTGACCCAAAGGCAGCTGGCGTTCGTGGTGGCGAACGTCATCATGGGTTCGCCCGGGCCCACGGCGAAAGTGAGCTTTCCGATCCCGTCCACCGCTCCCTCACCAGGGCTGAGCCTAAACGGTGCCTTTCGTTGTCGTTTTGCCTGTCGTGTTTCCTCGTTTTGCCTTCGCTTCGTCTCGAATGCAAGCCACAACGAAAACACAAAGCGGCCCACGAGATTGCCAAGACACTGTGCAGGTCCAGCCCTGACCCCCACCCCCCTCGTGGCCCGCTTTCTTATCGGGCCCCGGGGCAGGGACAGTGGATCTGGGAAGAGGCCCACTCCCTGGCATCGCTCGGACGTGTTTTTTTTCCTTCGGCGAGAACCATCGAGGAGCATCCTTGATCATCTGGCGAAAAAAAAAACACGCACGAAACCGAACAAAAAACACAGGCGAAGGGTCGTGACCTGCGGGGCCGTGGATGGAGCAACGTCGTATCGAAAGGTGCTTGGGAGAGGGGTCCCGCGAAAGCATCGATCGAGAGGAACATATTGCATCGATCGATCGGGGGAAGGGGTCGACAGGACCCCTTCCCGAGGAGGGTTCCTGGAGCAAGATCGTACCGGAAGATGCCCGTCTGACAGTTTCTGATGTCTTCGCCGTTTCCAGCCTCCCACGGGCCCTCCCCTTCACTCCACGAGGCCCCGGGGCCGTCAAGAAACGGCGCGGGAAGAATCGCTGGCCGTTTGGGATCCGTTGCCCCCAGGGCTCCCTTCAGGCCAATCCCCCCTCCAACTCCCCTGAGGGGGGGCCCAGGGGGTTCGTGGGTGGGAGACCTGTCCGATTCTGGCCCAGACGTCCAACCGTTTCCGACCATTTGCCCACTTTGTTTGCGGCTTCCAAGAGAAGTCGATGGCTGCGGACGGCTACAGTCGGGGCCCTGAAGAAGGAACCCTTTTCTCTGGGGAGGGGCTCCGCGTTCCTTAAGTGTTTCGCAGCTTGCCTCAGGTTTTCCTTATGTTTTCGATCGGAAATCGAAGTTTAACTTATGGAAAAAAGGGGCCTCGTTCCTTATTTTGGGTTCCTTAGGTCAAGGCCCCGACTGTATCAAGGGAGGCAGAACCACCTGGACCGGACCATCGGCGTGTCCTGAACGGCCTTGGGCGTGTGCTAAACCGCCCTGCCCTGCCCTGCACGATCCCTTCTTCGGGCGCGTCTCCCGAACGCACTCGGGAGCCCGGGTCTCGCAGTCTCTCGGAGGGGGGGCCCGTGGGGCAGATGCGAGTCTCAAGTAGTTCTGATCTCTCCCTCTCTCGAGGCAGAGAACTTCTGGACAAGCAGAAATGTTCAGAGGCCCGCGCGGATCTCTATCATCGGCCCCGGAGCCCCCCTCCCCGGTGCTCGGAGCGCGCCCGTGGCAGCGCCAGAGGCGCCGCCAGGGAGGCCCAGCGCCGATCCACAAGATCCGCGCAGAGAGGTGCGACAGCTTACGTGTATGCCTTGGCATCGCTCGGACGTGTGCATTTTTCCTTCGGCGAGGACCATCGAGGAGCATCCTTGATCACTTGGCGAAACAACCGCGCACGGAACCGACAAAAGCACAGGGAATGGACGTCCGAGCGATGGCCAGCTGCAGTTTCTTTGTGCGGACAGGTCCCTTGCCTCCCCCCCCGTTGTTTTCCAGCAGACTGCGATTCATCTTTCCCGCCCTTCGCCCGGAGGGGGTGCAGCAGAGCAGGAGGTGCCTTCGGGCCGTGTCTGAAGGCATTCCTGTGCTCGGCACCGGGGCGACGCAGAAGAAAGGGGCCCTCCTCTCTGGCATTGGCTTCCGAGCTGCCCGCGAAAGGTCGCGCGTAAGCGCTCTTTTCTCCACGCGGCGAGCAACGCTGGCGGCCCGCGCAAGCCAGCGCGTAAGGCCGCCGTGTTGTCTTGCGTCAGCTTCTTTCCGTGGCTCACTCGGTTGCCTTCTCCCCTTCCCCTCCTCTCCTTTGCACGTTGTGCCTGGCCTCTTCCGTTTCTGGTGGCGTGTGCTATAGAGAGGGTTGCGATAATGTTTGTCGTTCTCCTTGCGGCGACTATTTCTGTTGAGCTGTGGTGGTTTTGAAGCATGCCCCCCCCCCCCTGATGGCTGCCCTCCCACAGGCTCGCTCCATAGGTCGCGGGGACGTCGCCCAGGCAATCCGATTTGCCCCGCGTTCCTCTACTCTTGGATGTGCCCTAGGGCAAAAATCTATGCTTGAATAGTCCCCCCCCGGTGGATTTGGTTGAGTGGTTTTAGACATGCGGCCGGCCCCCAGGCAACACGATCCCGGCCGGCGACGGCCTCTCGGCCGCGGTGCAGCGGTGCGCCGAGGGGCCAGAGCCCCCCGACATGGTGCTCTCTCTGCTTTCGATGCTGGCGGTGCTCTCCCAGGAGCCCCGGAGGGAGGAGGCCCCCTCATCACTGAAAGAGCGTGTTCTACCGCTGCTGGCGGAAAACCGGGGGGGGTCTTTACCGGTTCGAACCCCTCCCCCCCCCCCCCCTCCGGAAAACCCGGGGGGGTCACTACCGGTTCGAAACCCCTCCCCCCCCCCCCAGTTCATCATGAAAAGGGGGGGGGGTCACTACCGGTTCGCCCCCCCCCCCCCCCCCCTCGAAAACCGAGTGGGGGTGCGGACAGTGGTGGGGACGGTGTTGGTGGGGACAGTGGTGAGGGGACAGCGGGACAGTGGTGGGGACAGTGGGACAGTGGGACAGTGGTGGGGACGGTAGTGGTGGGGACAGTGGTGGGGACAATGGTGGGAACAGGGGGGACAGTGGACAGTGGTGGGGACGGTGGTGGTGGGGACAGTGGTGGTGAGGACAGTGGGAATGAGGTGGAAACAGTGGGATAGTGGAGGGTACAATGGTGGTGGGGACAGTGGTAAAGGCGGTGGCGAGGACGGCGGTGGGACAATGGGACAGAGGTACAGTGGGGACAGTGGTGGGGACAGTGGGGACAGTGGTGGGAACAGTGGGACAGCTCAGTGGGACAGCGGAGGAGTCAGTGGGACAGTGGGGACAGTGGGGATAGGCAGTGGTTGGGTCCGTGGAGACAGTGGGGAGAGTGGAACCGTGGTGGGAACAGTGGTGGGAACAGTGGGGACAGTGCGACAGTGGTGGGGGCACTGGTGTGGACAATAGGGACGGTGGTGGAACCAGTGGGGACAGTGGTGGTGAGGACAGTGGTGCTGGGAACAACAGTGGGGGATGTGATGCGAGCGGTGGTAGGGACCGGGAGTCGTTTGCTGGCGGTGCGTGGGGGGGGGGGGTCGAACCGGTAGTGACGCCCCTCCGGTTTTCGAGGGGGGGGGGTGGGGGGGGTTCCAACCGGTAGTGACCCCCCCCGGTTTTCCGGATCCGGGGGGAGGGGGGGGGGAGGGGTTCGAACCGGTAGTGACCCCCCCCGGTTTTCGAGGGGGAGGGAGGGGGGGGGGGTTAGGGGAAGGGGGGGGTTTTGCCGGGGGAAGGGGGGGGGTCCAGCAGGGGGGGGGGATTTTCGGAGGGGGGGGGGGGAGACCCCCGGGTTCCGGAGGAAAAGGTTGGCAATTTTCCACAGTAAAGCGGCGGTGGATCACGCTCTCTCTCATCATCACTCCTCCTCCTCTCCTCCTTCCTCCTCCTCCTCCTCCTCCTCCTCCTCCTCCTCCTCTGCTCCTGCGAGCTCGCAACCAGTTCTTGGGTGGGGGGATTGGCGCGGAGTGTGGGTTAGCCTCCTCGCTCCCAGGTCTCACTCGATGCGGTTGGGCGGTCGTGGAGCTCGACGCGTCGGGGATCATCCTCCGAGCAGTTTTTGAAGCGCTCCCAGGCCCAGTCCAGACTGTCCCTGGGGCTGAATACGATGCTTGCCTGATGGCGGTCAAGTGTGCCGGTGGTTCGGTGCACATCGTCTCTGGCCATCTGTCTGCTGTCAAGACGGGCTCAGCATGGGGGCCCCATAACGAGTCGGCTCGCTCCCGGCATGCTTCGGTCTGGAGGTCCATGCATGTTGCCAGTGGTAGCTCGGACGAGCACCCTACGTTTCAGTGGGTGTCCGCACATCGTTCTGCTGAATATGTACTGTCCGATTTTTCCGCTGATGTTCTGGATTTTGTTGGCAATGAGTGGGCTGACCAATTTGTGAAAACGAAAAAATAAAAACGCTAGGTCTCATATGGGTGCCCAGGTGCTCCAGGACGTCCATCGGCAGCGTTTGGTCGAGGCCCAGAAGGACGCCCAAGTGTTTTCATGGATGGCCCGCACAGTGGCAAGGAGGGTCGATGAGCTCCAGCCGCGCGCTGGTGCACCAGCGCCCAGACGAGCACCCCCTCCTGCCCCAATTGTGGCCCTTGAGACCCATGAGTTCTTGGTTTGCGACCGGCTATCTGAACATCGTTGTCGCGTCTGCAACCATTGGGCTCGGACCCCTGCCTCCTTGAAGGCGCTGCGCGCGCGTCCCTGCGCGCCCTCCCCTTTGCAGCGTGCCTCGGCGGCCAGGTACTTCAATCTCACTCCTGAGACCTACCGCCACCCCTCGGCCGCAGTTGCCGAAGCCGTGCGTGCTGCCCGTGACCTCGAGGAGGCGTCTGGCCCCGAGGCAGGGCACGTCGAGGGGGAGCGGGTTGATGTCGTCGCCGTCGGGGGGGCCGACGGGGAGGTGGATTTGTGCAAGGAATTGGGCCACGTTGCCGAGAGGTTCGGCTCGGTGGTCGTCTGTCTTGCGTGTGGTGCCTATTCCGTTGCCGGCGGCCGCAACAAGAAATTGCAGCAAGCCAGATGCAAAGGGCATTCGGACGTTGCGTCCACTCGCGCCAACGAGGAAATTCATATCTCTCGTGCGATGCGCGGTCTTCATCCTCGCACTGGTGCCTTTTGCACCTAATGCCACCCTCGACGCCTAGTCTCCTCTGTTGGCTTGGCCGATGAGGTGGGGACGCAGCTGTTGAGGAAGAACTGTGCGTTGCAGCGAGCTTCATGCCCTGCAGTGCAGCTTCTGTGTTTCACGCCGCTGGGGCGGGTCCGTTAGCTCGGACTCGCGCTTCCATCGCTCGGTACCTCCTCCTCCTCCTCCTTCTCCTCCCTCCTTTTCCTCCTCCTTCTCCTCCGCCGCCGCCGCCGCCTCCTCGGCCCCCCCTGCAGCCGAGTGAGTAGAGGCCTCCCAGACGGGGTCGGAATGGATGCCGCCGGAGGATCGCGCCGCATCGCCGATGCATCGCCGATGCGGCTGGATGCGGAGCCCGATTGTCTTCACGTCGACGTCGCCGATGTATCGCCGGCGTCGCCGATGCATCACTGGTGCGTCGCCGATGCATACTGGTGCATCGGCGATGCGGCACGATCCTCCGACCCCATCTACTCCGACCCCATCTAAGCGGCCTCTACTCATTCGGTCACTCGGTTGCAGGGGAGGCCAAGGAGGAGGAGGAGGAGGAGGAGGAGGAGGAGGAGGAGGAAAAGGAGGAGGAGGAGGAGGAGGAGGAGGGGGGGGTGCAGGCCGGAGAGCCCTCAGGGCGCGGGGTGCACGTGCTTGGAGCGCTCCCGCTGTTCGGTCCAGCCCCAGGCCGTCCGGCGCGGGTTCCGTGTCACAGGGGGCAATGGCGAGGACCTCGGCCAGCACGTTTCTTTTGCGAGCCCAGCGCGCCAGCCTTGTCTGACGAAGGAAAACAGGCGCGAGCGTTAGGCCCAGGAGTGCCGCTCGGGTGTCTCGGATCGGCGCTGGACCTGGCTCCCAGGCGCGCCGCCAGGGGCTGCGCCAGAGGCGCTTCAGGGGCTGGCTCTGTGGGCCGGCCCGAACCTCACCCAGACCAAGGCCTGTCACAGCCACGATTCGCTTCCACGACTCGAACCCTTACCTGGACCTGTACCCAGACCATCCTGGATCGTACCAAACTGTGGTTGTGACTCGCCTCGGAAGTGTTCCTCCTTGGGCCGCGTTGTTTGGCTGACATTCGAATCGTGCAACCCGAACCTCAGGAGGTCTTTAGCTTTGGGGCACCCCCCTGCTTCTCCCGGCGGGGAAGGAGCTCGCCCCCCGTCGTCGTCTTCGTCGTCGTCGCGGCGGAGATTATTTTCCCTCGATTGTTTGGCCCTGGCATCGCTCGGACGTGTGCATTTTTTCTCGACAAGAACCATTGAGGACGATCCTGAACCATCGAGCCAAAAAAACACGCACGAAACCGAAAAATGCACGGGAAATGGACATCCGAGCGATGGCGAGTGGCGGGCTGTATCATATTGGGTTTTCTTTCAGGGAAGATCCCATCGCGGGAAACCCGACACGCGAGAGCATACGCCAGCATCTTCTCATGAGGATTGCACCAGGATTGCACATCGTTGTGATCCGCGCCTTTGCGTAATCGTAAGCATAGTCGTACTCTTAGTCGCAGTCGCATCTGCAATCTGAGTAGTGATCGATAACTCTTGATTGTGGTTGTGGTTGTAGTCGTGATTGTAGTCGTAGTTGCGAGCGTGCTTGCAATCGTTGTTGTAATCGTGGTGCTAGTCGTAGCCGTAGTCGTATGGTGGTCGTGGTCGTTATCGTAGACGTAGTCTTCCTTGTCCTCCTCCTGCTCCTCCTCGCGGTCGCTATCGTAGTCGCCGCCGTCGTCGTCGTCGTCGTCGCGGCGGGGATTATTTTTCCTCTACGGTTGGGCGAGTTGGATCATGGTGGGGGCTTCTTTCTCCCAGCGAATGCTGATCTCTGGGCGGCCTTGCACGACAGAGGAGTGTTGAGCATGTTTATAGAAGTTGTTGCAATCTAGATAGAAAAACATTGTCTCATCCTTTGTTTCGCCGTAGTCGTACTCGTAGTCGTAGCCGTAGTCGTAACAGCACTCGTGGTCGTTAACTACTCGTCGTCGTTGTCGTCGTCGTCGTTTTGTGGCGGTTCCAGCGATAATTGATAGTTTTTGGTGGGATCTCGCCGTCAGCGCGTTCACCGAAAAGATCAGTATTTTCAACGATTGGGCGGGTTTAAAGAATTTATCCCGGTTGCCAAGACGAGGAGTGAAACCAGAATTCTTGACGCTTCGTGTGTCCCCACCAGTTTCCCTTGGGTTCGGGTACTTGCTTGGCTCTCACCTGTGTGCGTGTTCACTTGCGCGCTCCGCTCGTGCCGACTTCCTCTTTTTGTTCGCGCTCAATGGCTCTCGCTGTTGGTTTATGGCCATCTGAAGTTCTTCCTTTACGGCAAGGTTGGCTTGGGACGCTTGGTCTCGGTCCATGGTTTCTTCTTCACGGCGTACCTCTTCTGCCTTTTGGCCGCCTTCTCGCGTCATTTCGGCTGCGTCTACTTCTGGCACAAAAAGTGCCCCCACAAGCCCATCCAGAAACAGATCTGCACGCGGGTTGCCTTGATCCGGGAATTGTAAACACACGCAGTGCAACAACCGCATTGGAAGCGTTTGCTCGTAGGT